ATTTTAAAGGTTTTAAGGATTTTAAAAGATTTTAAAAGGTGGCCCGGTGCCCCTAGGCCTCCAGGACCCCTTTAAAATCTTTAAAATCCACAAAATTTTTGGAAAGGGATTTTCCAAAAACTTTAAGGATGTTAAGTATTTTGAAGTTAAATAATTTCGGGCCTCCAGAAGGTCGCGGCTCGATTTGGCCAAATTTTGCCGGGCAGGCTCCGGGCAAAATTTGGCCAAATCGGGTTGCTCTTCGTATGCGATGAGAAATGCGCGGCTCGATTTGGCCAAATTTTGCCGGACAGGCTCCGGGCCAAATTTTGCCCGGAGCCTGCCCGGCAAAATTTGGCCAAATCGAGCCGCGCCTTTCTGGAGGCCCATTTAAAATCCTTAAAATCCTTAAAATCCTTAAAATTTTTGGAAATGGATTTTCCAAAAACTTTAAGGATTTTAAGGATTTTAAAGGTTTTAAAAAGGCCTTAAAACCCTTAAAACCCTTAAAGTTTTAGGAAATGGATTTTCCAAAAACTTTAAGGGTTTTATAAATAGTGACCCTTAAAAACCTTAAAAGCTTAAAGTTGTTACGAAATGGATTTTCCAAAAACTTTAGGATTTTTTTAAGGATTTTAAAGGTTTTTAAAGATTTTAAAGGTGGGCCCGGGGCTCTGGGCCCGCCGGGACCCTTTTGATAAATCTTAAGTCCTTAAATCCTTAAAATCTTTAAAACTTTTGGAAATGGATTTCCAAAAAATTAAGGGTTTAAGGATTAAAGGTTTTAAAAAAGGCCCGTAAACCCCTTAAAATCCTTAAAATTTTTGGAAATGGATTTTCCAAAAACTTTAAGGATTTTAAGGATTTTAAAGGTTTTAAAAAGGCCTTAAAACCCTTAAAATCCTTAAAGTTTTAGGAAATGGATTTTCCAAAACTTTAAGGATTTTAAGGATTTTAAAGGTTTTAAAGATTTTAAAAGGTGGCCCGGGGCTCCTGGGCCTCCGGGACCCCTGTAAAATCTTTAAAGTCCTTAAAATCCTTAAAATCTTCAAAAATTTTGGAAATGGATTTTCCAAAAACTTTAAGGGTTTTAAGGATTTTAAAGGTTTTAAAAAGGCCTTAAAACCCTTAAAATCCTTAAAGTTTTAGGAAATGGATTTTCCAAAAACTTTAAGGATTTTAAAGATTTTAAAGGTTTTAAAGATTTTAAAAGGTGGCCCGGGGCTCCTGGGCCTCCGGGACCCCTTTAAAAATCTTTAAAATCTTTAAAATCCTTAAAATCCTTAAACTTTTTGGAAGTGGGTTTTCCAAAAACTTTAAGGATTTTAAGGATTTTAAAGGTTTTAAAAAGGCCTTAAAACCCTTAAAATCCTTAAAGTTTTAGGAAATGGATTTTCCAAAACTTTAAGGATTTTAAAGATTTTAAAGGTTTTAAAGATTTTAAAAGGTGGCCCGGGGCTCCTGGGCCTCCGGGACCCCTTTAAAATCTTTAAAATCCTTAAAATCCTTAAAATCCTTAAAATTTTTGGAAGTGGATTTTCCAAAAACTTTAAGGATTTTTCAGGATTTTAAAGGTTTTAAAAAGGCCTTAACCCTTAAAATCCTTAAAGTTTTAGGAAATGGATTTTCCAAAAACTTTAAGGGTTTTAAAGATTTTAAAGGTTTTAAAGATTTTAAAAGGTGGCCCGGGGCTCCTGGGCCTCCGGGACCCCTTTAAAATCTTTAAAATCCTTAAAATCCTTAAAATTTTTGGAAATGGATTTTCCAAAAACTTTCAGGATTTTAAGGATTTTAAAGGTTTTAAAAAGGCCTTAAAACCCTTAAAATCCTTAAAGTTTTAGGAAATGGATTTTCCAAAAACTTTAAGGGTTTTAAGGATTTTAAAGATTTTAAAAAGGCCTTAAAACCCTTAAAATCCTTAAAGTTTTAGGAAATGGATTTTCCAAAAACTTTAAGGGTTTTAAGGATTTTAAAGCCTTTTTAAAATCTTTAAAATCCTTAAAATCCTTAAAATCCTGAAAAGTTAGTCAGGCAGAGAGCAAAGCCAAATAGAGCAGAAAGGTCCTACGTACATAGGCTTATAGCCTTATAGCGTTGGATTCTGGATTCACTCTGTCGCAGTGTCCCTTTTCCGCCCTGCCTCGCTTGCCGGATTCCTGATGTCCCTGCTAGCTTCCCTTGTGAAGGGTGTGCAGCGGAAGCGGCGGCCACGTCACGAATCCCGATCCCAGGATCTGCCTGGGCCTAGCTCAGCGAGTGATGACAAATCCACCGCCAGGGCCATCGCTCGGTCCTCGTCTTCGTCGTCTCAGATTGGGGGTGTCTTTGGTGAAACGGAGGATGATGGCACGGATGTCCAGGGCGCTGCAGATGACCTGGTCTCCCTGACAGCATCCAGCAGACGTTCCCTCTCAGGGCACAGCCAGTCGGTGAAGCTAGGAATCTTGAATGCCCAGAGACTCGCAAGCATAAATATAATATGCAGCAAGCTGCAAGACCGTTTTTGTCATTTTTGTCTATAGATAATAGATAGTTAGATTGTTGTTAGGAAGTTATCCAATTATACGGACGGCGGTATACGTAGTAACAGTAACAGTAATCGTAATTCGTAATAGTATAAAAGCCTGTCCTGCCTGAGGATCAGCGCAGCGGCCGAAGACCAGGCTGCTTGTAATGACAGAGGTGTCCGGATCGCTCGTCTCGTTTTTGGATCGTCAAATGCTGCCGGCGCATCACGGGACAAATCTCAGAATTTGGTGTTGCTTTGCTTGAACGTTGAGAGTACCGACAATTTCTAAACAAAGTTTTAGTTTGAGTCTTTAACTGTAGCCTAGCGCCGTAGCGCCGACTCACTGCTGCAAGGACATTCAAGAATGTGGATGGTTCTACTGCCGTATATGATTATACGAGCAGGAGTGGGGAGCAACGACGCCGCATTGAGGATGTTGGCTTGCTGTCTCATACCCGTGCCCAAGCGACGCAGCTAGTGCGGTTCTTGAAAGATTCGCCGTGGCAGCATTTGATTTTCACTGCCATCTATGATGACACGAGCGTCTGGGTAGCCTGGTAGCCTACTTGAACTGGTTGAGTTGCATTGTCGAGTCTTATCATTAGAAATTGATCCAAATTCCAAGCTTTGGTAAGGGAACAGGGGGCAATTGAGCAGAAGAGCGACGGACTTTCGACAGAACGGTAGACTGTTGAAATTGAACCCTACAGGTTCAGTCGTCGGGCATTCGTCGACAGCAAGAGCAAGGGCCGCAATGCCCACCGGCTGACAAGCGCAAGCGTGCAGGAGGTGGAGAACGGGGGAGCAATCGAATGCATGTGCCACTGCTCGGTCTATTGCAAAGGATTGCTATCCGGACATATGGCGATGAACGAAGCAATAGACTTCAAACAGTTGCGAAGCTCTGACTTAGCCCTATAGCCTATACCCTATAGCTGCGATAGGAAAAAGTAAACTTAAAAGCCAGCAACTGTTTTAAAGTTTTAGCGTTTTAACTTTTAACCTGCCCAGGTCCACGTCCATGCGCCAGCACAGGTCTTGCCCCAAGCAAATGCCGCCACAGTGGCAGATCGCCTTCGTCGATGGTGCTGTTTCTGTAGTTCCGGTTCTTCAGAGCACCTGGGTGGAGCGGATCTGCAGGCGGCTGTTGCTGCGAGGGCCTGTTTACAAATACACGTGCACGTCACGGACGCCTTGACAGTGAACACCTCAGTTCACGCGATGGAAGAACGTGCGTGGGCAGAGCGACGACAGAATGGTGACGCGCAGGCCAAGCTTGTCGCGAAGTTGATTAACAACTGCCTGCACCATCAAGCTTCCCTGGCCAAGAAACCAAGTCTCTTGCAGATTCCCAAGCTTTGTTCCGGGCTGGTGCGAATGTGCATCTTGCTTGCTGTGAATGGTACAAGTTACAAATTTCTCACAATCTAGGTGAGGCAGTGAGGCTGCGAGCGTAGTGGGGAACTTTAAAACAGATATCCTGATATCCTGGTCCTGGTATCCTGATCACTGATCACTGATACTGATACTGATATTTATCAATCTTGTCAATTTTGTCTTTGTCATTGGGCTAAGGCAGATCCATGACCTCCAGCAAGTTTCGGGAAAAGTTCCTGACAGCTTTGGAACATGTGGCGAAATCAGTGGATCGGTTCTGCGTTGGTTGCTTGCCGCGAGAGGTTGAGGGCTGGGTACAAGCCAATCGGAGAGCTTTGGAATTCTGCAAAGATGGCTTGACTGAGGAAGAGGTTGAAGCCATCCTTCGGTTTTTCAATGGTAAATTCGGCAGTGGTTTTACCCACTTTTGCGTGCCTGGCTGCTGTCAGGGAAATGACGACTTTTATGAGACGCCTGGCTGGAACTCTGTGAGTTTTAGTTTTTTGTTGTCCAAGTTACAAGTTAGTTGCGAAAAGTTATAGTTATAAGTTATAAGTAATGGGGCTATACGGTTTAGGGTTTAGGGTTCAGGGTTTAGGGTTTAGGGTTTAGGGTTTAGGGTAAGTTATACGTGAGGCGAGTCACTAGTCCAATAGTCAGTAGTAATAGTCAGTAAGTACCAGGAGAGCACTTTCCCATCTCAAACTCCTCATCGGCTGTTTTCCAGCTGTTCCTCTTCTCTACCGATGGAAACACTTCGAGACTGCTGCCGCCTACGGTCTTCGTGGGCTCATCGTGAATCAGGTCCTTTTGGAGGTTCTTCTGAAGTTGTTCGGAAAAACAGCTGCAGAAGTTGAGGCCATGGCGCAGGACATGGACGTCGATGAAGACGATCCCGACGCTTCTTTTGCCACACGCCAGAAAGTTCGTGTGGGAAAAACCATCCTTTTATTCAAGGATCCCAGTGTGGACGATCCTCGCCAAGAAGTTCTAGAATGGTTTTGCAACTTAAGAAAGAAGAAGTAGAAGTTCGTGGTAAGCCAAGTTCAGTTTAGTAAGTGTAGTAGTCGTTAGTAGTGTAGTCAGTAGTCGTCGTCGTTCGTAGTTTGTCGAACTTAGTGACCCGCTGCTGCAGGAGAAACTTCATCAGGGTCTTCTCTTGAGCCTACCCCTGCGAGACTACATGGATGAATTGTCTTTTGCAGACACTGTTCGACAACGATGGGAGGCAAAAGAGCTAGGCATCACTCTGAAAGGGAGTGCCTGCGAGGATCTTGATTCGGAAACGGTGCTCAACGCCACCATTGATGCGTGGACCGGCAGGGCGGGCATGAGGGTCGTGCAGAAGTTCACGGATCTGTTGTGTGCTCCACAGGATGCTACGTGCTGGAAGCCATGGGACTCTGCCCGTTGTCAGGCCACATTTGCATCTACCGCCGAATTGCTACTTCTCTCCATGGCAGACTCTTGGCGACGCTTGGTATTCGCACGCGAGCGGCAGCCCTACGAAGTGACTGGGCGTTGGCGTTGGTAAACGTATTTCAATTGTCTATTTGGTTCTGTTATGAGTCAAGGGCCATGGGTGTTATGAGGTTAGTAGTTAGTAGTTATGTTATGAGTTATAAGAATCAGTTAGTTGTTTGAGTTGAGCTCTTTGGGTACTTAGGTATTCGGCATTGTGCAAACCACCCCGGAACAGGCGGCGGTATACCTGAAACAGCTTCTGCAAGAGAAAGAGCATTGCCTCAACTGCGTGCATCCTCCTTTCACAGGAGTTATCTTGGATTTTTTCCTTTCGCAAGGCGAAGACGAAGGGGCTGCTCGCGCTATCCAGGCAGCGTTGCGTGACACTGCCATGAGTGCCAGTTGTTCCTCTCAGGCAGTCGAGAAGATGCATGCGCATGTCCAGGTGGCGCAGAACACTTCGCACAATCCTGGGCCCCGTCCTCGCACGGTCCAGCGTGAGACATACATCTTGTCCGCTCGACTTGCTCACGCACGCCTGAAGGGTTTGATTGAGCAGGAGGTGTTTGGGCCCAATGGTTTGTCTCGGGCACGCAAGCTCATGGGCACCAGGGTGGTTTCCCGATCAAAGGCAAGCAACACGTCCTTGAGAGCATACGTGCCAAAAGAGGGAGCGTCGGTGCGACGTCAGCGCGCCTTTGTGCGGCAGCATGTTCTGAAACTCCAGAAGACCAAGCGCACACAGGCAGCCCCAAACACGTGGCATGCCTTTTTGACCTTCAAGAAGGGTCAGAAGTTGAGAGACGATTCGCAAGGTCTGTCAGACTCTTATCATGCAATGATGAGAGACCCAGTGCAAAGGCAGCAGCTTCAGGATAAGGCAGTGCAAATGGCAGATGACAGGAATGCGCTTGCAAACAACGTGCTTGGTTCAAACGTTGACACGCCAAGCTTATCTCAGGGCCAGAAACGACGGCTGGGGCATGTGCAGCTCGACAAGTCTCTTGTGGCTCTTGTGCAGCACCCAGCCTGGAAGGAGGGGCTGCGCGTCCATGACAGCAACACAGCTCTCGCTGCTCATCATGTGATTGGTGAGGAGGACGATGGTCACCCCGCTTCCGCCAGCTACCGTAAGCAGGCTGCTGAAGCTGTGTACGGGTTCGACAGCAAGATCGTTCAGAATCCAGAACGGCTGCCCACCCTCAGCCGCACGTGTCGCGAGATGCACGGTGGTTTATGCTGCCGCAAGACGCCCAACTGTGACCAGGCAGGTAGGTGTGTAAGTTAGTTTAGAGTTCAGTTGGTTGGTTTGTTTTGGAGGGTTTAGGGCCTTGGAGAGGGGGAAGGGGAGGAGGGGGAGGGGAGGGAGGGGGGGGGAGGGGGAGGGGGGAGTGGGGGAGGGCGAGGGCCAAACCCTAAACCTTTTACCCGCAACCCCGAACCCTAAGAATTTAGTTAGTTATTTTTGCTTAAATTTCTGACGTTCACAGCGAGGCCGACCTGTATGTGGAGCAGTTTCACCATGTGCTGAAGCAACACAAGCTGGATCAGCCAGGCGTGTTCATCCGCTTGGCGTACCCGGACGGAGGCTGTCAGTCTGCACAGGAGGCAAAGTGGTTCTGCGTTGGTTCTATGCAGAAGATGCGACCGATCATCATGCATGTCTTGGTGCACTTCATGCCCAGCTCAGAGGACGAGACAAGCAACGTTCTTTGCTTAGAAACGGTGCGTTGCTTCAACGACGAGAAGCGCGCGCGGATATCTACATCCCACCAAATCTTTAGTACTCTGCATGCCCAACGCGGAGATCGGTCCGAGGACATTGCTGTGTCTGTTTGGAAACAGTTGCCGGCCGCTGCCTCCCAGGAGAACGGAAATCATTTCCTGGCGGTCTCCGCCCCTGACGCGAAGGATGTGCTGGGACCTTCGTTCAAAGCGGATGTTGCTCAGAAGGCTGCGCCAGAGCCCCAGGCCCCGTCGTAAATTCATAGACAGTCAGTTCATAAGACAAGTTTGCTGGAAAATGTTCGTGTCCAAGGCTTGTTTATTTATCTTACTTTCTTTTCAGGGTTCAGGGTTAATTGACACCCAAACCTAAACTGCCCTAAACCCTAATTGGGACCCTAATTCCCTAATGTTTCTCAACGAGGCCCCTCAGCTTCCCTTCGGATTGTCTTTGCTGCGCTTGACTGGCAAACGAAAGAGACAACAGGATTCGGACGCGATGGACATTGACTACGAGAACGAGAAACGTGCAAAAAAAACAAGGAAGCAACCGATTGCCAAGGCCAAGGTAGAGCTGTTGTGGGCCAAGGTCTTTGGTGTTGACAAGAATGACAAGAAGGTACAAAAGCTTCAGCGTGCGCAGGAGGAGGCCGCTGCAGAGTCCGGGGTGGGTTCCACGTTTGAACCCGCCCGCAGTTCGTGGGAGGTCGACCCAAGGGCTGGCGATGGCTTCAACCGTGACCAGGACCATGACCATGAAGGCCCTGTGAGACCAGCGCTGGAGGAGGAAGTCCTGCTGCGCCCACAGGCAGAAGCAGAGTTCCGGGCTGCTGAGCAACAGCTTCTTTCACCGATGGAACCTGTGGAGGAGGAAGTGGCTGAGGCGCCGCCAGCCGCCGCTCAAGTCGCTGTCAGCGCTCCCAAAGCCCGCCAACCTCCGCGGCGACAGATCGGACTTTGTGGCCTGGACCGCGCGCCTCAACGTGGACAAGGCTCCAAGTGCTACTTATGCCAAGCATCAATTCCGAAGCAGTCGATCAGGTTTGACTACCAGTTTTCTGAGTCAGGGAAGACGTCTCGCTACATACATCCAGGTTGTTGTGCGCTCATACCTGCGCGAGCAATCCAGAATTCGCTTAAGTTTCTCCGTGAGCACCGAGACTCCGACATAGCTCAGGACGAGGTTAGAGGTGCCATTACGGTGTTGCAGAGTATGGTTGTGGTCCAGCCGTAACTTCAGCTTGCCCCGCTGGACTTGCAGTGTACAGATGATGCGATGAGACGGTGAGACGAGCTCACTGCGTGACAATTTGATAGTGGGAAGAAGGGCGGGATGTGCCAGAGGGATCAAAAGGTGGTGTCAGTTTATCATCGACCGACTTACTTAGTCTGAGTCTCTTGCGCGGTGCAACAGAACGAACTGCGCCTTGACTTCAGTTTGTTGTTGCTCCGCTTGTTTCTGCCAGACGCCTCTCGATTATATACTTCACGGGAAGCTTGCTAACGGCGAGAGTGTTGGGCTCTCCACTATACCGGCGCCTGGGCTGCAGTGCCCGCTGCGACGGATTGTAAGAACTTTGCAACCTTAAAACTTAAAGCCTAAAATCTTACACTGCGAGGCGATAATCATGTAATTAGTAATTAGTGTGGTTTTGGGATGATTAGTAAGTAGTAATAAATAATAGTAATAATTTAATTGTAATAGTCTATAGTCTATAGTAATACTTACGTAGTTAAGTTCTGCACCCCGCCCCTTGGCTCCTTCCCCTGCAGGACTATGTGGTCCGGGTCTTCCACGTGAAGCCTCTCGCCCCAAATGTTGGGAACCGACACTCGGCCTTGACTTGATCTCGACCGTTCTTCGTGAGTGCACTTGTGGCGAACTTTAGTTCAGTCAAGGAGTTGCGAGTATGGGGTGCCTCAACAAAGAGGTCGCTTGTACTTTGTCATGCTGCGGGTGGATGATGTGGACCAAGCGCAGCCGAAGGGCGAGGGTGATCTTGTAAGGTGCCCAGCTCTCACTTCTCACTTCTCACTGATGTTGCTTGTTAAGTTAAAGCTCCAATTGCTCACAATCTGGCGACTACAAGGACATGATATCGCACTTGGTGACAGCAGTCTTTCCAGACGCCATGCGAGTGCCAGCTGCTGCAGTTGTCTGGAAGTTCAAGTAGTTTAAGGTTTGGGCAAGGACTAGACCTAAACAGCCCAAGCCCTAAACAACCCTAAGCCCTAAATGCCCCAAGCCCCCTAAACCCTAAACCCTAAACCCTAAACCCTAAACCCTAAACCCTAAACCCTAAACCCTAAACCCTAAACCCTAAAACCCTAAACCCTAAACCCTAACCCTAACCCCAAAACCCAAAACCCTAAACCCTAAACCCTAAGCCCTAAATAAACAATGAAAAAAACCATGATGCGCGCGCGCGCGCGCATCATTGTTTTTTTGGCGCCACGGAGTGGAGGAGTGGAGAGGGCGAAACTTGGCCTATGGCAGAAGGCGCGTGGGAATGGGGGTAAAACTCAGCTTGGGCGTGGTGAAGGCTGGGTGGGGGTAGGCCGAAAGTTCTGGTGGGGTGGGGAGGCAGTGTGGGGGGGGGGGTGGGGGGTGGGGGGGGGGTGGTGGGGTGGGGGGGGGGGTGGGGTGGGGGGGGGGGGTGGGTGGGGGGGGGGTGGGGGGGGGGGGGGGCGGGGGGGTGGGGGGGGTGGGGGGGGGGGAGAACCCAACCGGGAACCACTCGGAACCACTCGGGCTTAATAAGACCCCCCCCCATTTCCATACGAGCTTCGTGTGCAAATGGGGGGGGGTCTTAATTTTACTCCCAGCCCGAGTGGTTCCGAGTGGTTTTCGAGTGGTTCTCGAGTGGTTCTCCCCCACCCCCTGCCCCTCCCCCCGCCCACCCCTCCCACACCCCCCCCCAGCTACCCGCCCCTCCACCGCCCGGGGGGGGGGGGGGTGGGGGGGGGCCCCCCCCCCCCCCCCCCACACAACCCACACCCTGAAGAAGCGGTGGGGGGGGGTGGGTGGGCTGCTGGGGGGTAGGGGTTTGTGGAAGTGGAGCAGGGTGAGGGAGTGGGGTGGGGGTGGGTGGGGGGTGGGGGGGGGGTGGGGGGGGGGGTGGGGGGTGGGTGGGGGGGTGGGGGGTGGGGGGGGTGGGGTGGGTGGGGGGTGGGTGGGGGGGGGGGGTGGTTGGGTTGGGGGGCATACTTTGGGCTCTGCCTTTTTGGAGCAAACCCATGTTTGGGGCGTGTTTTTTGTTGCTCCTTGCTGAGCACCCCCCCCCCCACCCCCCCACCCACCGTGTGAGAAGCAGCTGAAAGGGCCACCGAAACAACAACGAAACCTGCACTGGACCTCGGCCCCTCCCGCAATTTCTCAGGATGCCCAGACAAGTGTCTTCGAGCTGACAGAATATGTCGCTGCTCGCGGGCTAAACCGATTGATGCAGCCAACCAAAGTTGAGAAGCCTTTCAAGGACCTGGGGCAGTTCAGAAAGTCGTGCAAGTTTTGCTGGCAGCCAGTTGTAGTTGTCTGTATGTTGTAGTTTTTATCTAAGTTGTACGCCGGGCCTGGCTCAACTTTGCTTTAGTGCAAGCTGTAAGCCTCGCTTTCAAGCTTTTTGACTTGTCGCTCTTGTGTTGGCCGCGCCGTGATGGCGCTCGAGCTCGTGCCATGCAAGGAAGGCACGCGATGCCTCTCGTGTCATCAAACACCGAATGACATCGAGAAAGACCTCCTTCCGGAAAGGGTGGAGCGGGTCCATTGGGAACGCAAAGCGAAAGATACTTTGGGCAGGGTTTCTGAAAAGTCCATCCATTTCATTTCTATTATATACAATGACAACATAACTTTTTCGTGAATTATCGGCAACGGTGGCCCTGCGAAGGCAACAGAACCATATGCGAAGGACAAGAATGCACAAAGTGCGCGCGCTTTCGCCTCCGTTCCTTTGGCGCAATCTCCCAACGTGCGCTGCTGGACAGCATGCACAACAATGAGGACGCTGTGATTTGGGGGGGGGGGATGAGGGGATGGGGGGTTAGGGTCCCGGGTTTAGAATTTCGGATTCAGGATGTTTGAAAAAGGGCTTAGGGACAGGCTGTTAGGCTGATACTGAGGTCGGTCCTAAACCCTAAACCCTACCTAGGGTCCCAGGGTCAGGGTCAGGGTTTAGGGTGTAGGGTTTTCCTAACTTAGAGAGTGACAGTGAATGGTTGCAAGGAGCTCACCACTGTCGTCAACAATGGCCGTCGCGACTGTGTGCGGAGTGAAGGCACGGTCCTGGACCCTCAACCTTGGACCACCCCTAAATCCCTAAACTTACCCTGGCCCTAAGCTCTAGAAGCCGCTAGCTGAAAAACCTAAACATTAAAAAGCCCTAAGCCGCTAAGCCGTCAAGTGTCAAGCCAAGTTGAACGCTTGTGTACTGTTCATCGCTCCCTTGCTCAGGGAGATACAAATTCCCGAAGTATGATTTGCAGCAATTTGAGATGGAGGAAAACTTTATCGAAACCTACGACCACGGGGAATTCATTGAATTGGAGACGTTCTTGAAAGAACGGGAGATCACTGGCTTGACGACGTTCGAGGAGAAGTGCGAGTGCGTTTCCAAGGACCGCCCCAACCGCAACCACCACAACCGCCACAACCACCACAAAACCCTAAACCCTAAACCCTAAACCCTAAACCCTAAACCCTAAACCCTAAACCCTAAACCCTAAACCCTAAACCCTAAACCCTAAACCCTAAACCCTAAACGCTAAACCCTATGCGCGCGCAGTGCGGGTGGCGAAACCCTAAACCCTGAACCCTAAACCCTAACCCCTAAACCCTAAACCCTAAACCCTAAACTCTAAACCCTACGATTCGACAATTGAATTGGAGTTCTTGCCTTGCACGTGTTGGCAGGAGTTCAACGCGGAAGTGACCTTCCGAAAAGGCACTTACGGAGTGCTGGTGCTTGACAAGAAGGAAGGTCACCAGAAGGTCAAGGTGGGAGTGCGCAGTGCTGCCGGCAAGAGGAAGGCCGGGACACCAGATTCTGATTGGGGCCGGGCTTGTAGTCATCATGAGTCAGGAGTCATGATTCATCGAGTCATCGTGTAGTCATCCGTATGAGCATGCTCCGAACAAAGGTAAGCCGGGCAAGGGGAAGTCCTTTTGGAGCCCCAGGGGCTTCGAGTCATGGTCTGGAAAGGGCAAACCCTCGCCCAAGGGCAAGGAGAAGGCTGGCATAGGGAAAGGTTACGGGGCTGGC